GGAGTCTTTGAGCCAGGCACACCCTAGAATTCCCTGCACTAGTCCTGTTAGGGGCAAAGGATGTCCTGAGCTAATTCCATACAGGCTTTGTGGACTCCACACCCACTCCAAACCAAAGCCATCAAGACATTGAGAAAGACAAATTCCATCACCACCAAAGGGAAGGTGGCTGGGACCTGAGGGTGGAGTTAAGCGCCAGGTTTAGTATAAAAACCAGACACGTGGGCCTTGGGGTCACGTTCTCGCTCACTTCCTGGCTTCAGGGCTCGTGGCTCTCGGCCAGCTCTCAGAGTGCCATTTGGGATTCCAGATCGGCAGATCAGGTAGGACACATTTGAGACTTTATCTCCCACTTTTCTCCCTGAGTTGTACATTTCCTCATTTCCCCTTCCCTTGTGAATAAATCTTTTATTAACTTTTTGTGTATGCCTGCAGTGGAGTATTAAGTCCCTTTTAAGTGCGCGGGTGAGGACCCACAGCCATGCAACCCATTTTATATCGGGGATGCCCTGTAACAGTCCTTGTCTTTGCTACAGCATCTAGATGCTGAGTACTGTGTATCCAAAAGCAGGGACACTGCCGGAAATGACCACATCCCAGCCAAGAGAGGGAAGGGCGGTGATGACAATTCTTGTCTTGTCAGGTGGCAGTCTCTAGCCAAGCATATCCCATCCATTACCTTGTTCATGCCCACAAGCTTCCTGAGAGGTGGAGTGTTTTATGAGCGCCATCAACAACAAAGAATCAGGGTCAAGGCCATGAAGCTACACTGGCCTCTAAGATGTCTTTCTGATGGAAAGGGGCTGAGATCTGAGACTCCAAAATCCAGGAGGTCTGACTGTCAGGATAGTGTTTATATTAACCCTTGGATATATTCTGCCATTTGCCCTTTTGGGATCCAAATCTTGGTGCTAGTGTAGCCAGAGGTGCTCATAGATGGGGGCCAGTGAGATGATACAGCAGCAGCCCAGAGCAACAAAATTGCAAAAAGAAATAGTAAGAGAGAGAGAGAGAGAGAGAGAGAGAGAGAGAGAGAGAGAGAGGCCGGGATCTAGTATCTCAGTGAGCTGTTCTTGTGGGCAAAATCTCACTAAGAGCTCTTTATTGAATTGTTCACCTTCAACTCCACTGCTGTCTGCTCCAGCATCTGGTCCTATTCATTCGGACCATTGGCCCATTGCTGTGGGCTGCTGCTGCATCATTTCACTGGCCCCCATCTATGAACACCTCTGGCTACACTAGCATCAAGATTTGGATCCCACCTGCTGCTTCGCTGCTGCCATACCTGCAGGTGATTGTTGGAGGGCTGATTTCTTCATGGAGGAGTGGCGTTTTGTTTGGGACTTTTGAACACTGTGTACTCTAGGGTGAGATAGCAGGCCACTTGTGGCCTTAGGAACTCTGTTTCCCCTGTTTTTTAAATAAACCCCACTACTGTTCCCTGAGACTGAGTGGTCTTGCAATTTTGCGTACTGGTGAGGAACGCACAGAGAGTGACCTGTATGCACTCTATTGGACATAGTCCTTAGAGAGCTTCAGTGCCCACAGGGCACTGTTATCAGTTCCAAGTTACCTGTCCCACCATTTGAAGGGTGGAACAGAGCATCTAGGAGAAGCTAAAAAGGACTTGAGGGATCTTTCTAGTGGCGCAAGGGGTTAAGACACAGCACTATGAAGCGCTCTGCAACCACTGCAGCACGAGTTCAATCCCCGGCAAGGGAGGTGACCCACATGGCGCAACAGACCTCTCCTGACTCCCCTGTTACTCCCCTCAGCAGTGTAATTCAGTTAATCTGTCTGTTCTTTTCCCCACTTTGTCTCTGGTGAATCTTCTCATCCCCCACCCCTCTGGCCTGTACCCCAGTACTTGTATGTATAAATAAATCTTAAAAAAAAAAAAAAGGACTTGAGAGGGAAAACTTGGAGGAGGCACGTGGAAAAGAGAGGCACGTGGAAAAGAAAGACATGTGAAGCCACATTTGCTTCTTGGTCTGGGGCTTACACCAGGGACTTGGGCACATGGCAGGAGACACTTGGAAGAGTGAGATGCAGATGAGAGACCCATGTGAAGGCTGACAATGACAGCCTGTATCTTGACTTAGGTTTGGATTTTGCTCTTTTCCTTCTAGACTTGCCTGGCCTCTTGTACCCTCCTTCCTATGAGTCCCCACAAGAAGGTGCTGATGTAGTTTTTGGAGGCAGTGAGTTTGGAATGCGAGCTCTGGGAAAGGTTTCACCAGAGCTCCCCTTTCAGCGGCATGTGGTGAGTTTCCAAGCACGTTTCTCCACGAGACAGAGACAGTAGCTATATTTAAAGAACAGGTTTATTAGGAGAGGGACAGAAAAGTAAAGTACAACTGCATAGACACAAGCAGGCAGGAAGAGCTGCCCCGAAAGGGTCAGGTTTGCTGAGAAAGACCTGCATGGTTCCAGGAGGGTAGCCTTGAGGAGAGCTGCCTCCTCTGAGGAAGGTCAGCGAAGAGAAGTCCCGGCATAGTACAGGTGACCGGCAGGCAGGAAGGCTGTTCCCCTGTGGAGGGAGAGAGTGGGTGAAAAGAAGCACCCGCATAGTCACAGGTGGGCCAAAGGACTGCTGCCTCATTGCGGTGGCAGCGTTAGGTTTTAGAATCTTCTTTTGGTAGGGAGGGGCTCATCTTTGTGGGTGGATGGTTTGTTCCTTAATCTCCATTATCTTCACCTTCAGGTCTGTGCTCTGATAGTTTCTGGATTTGGGCCTCCTGACCTGGGCGTTGATGCCTAAGGATCTTGGTTTCTATAATTGGGTTACTGGCTTACACTAATCCCTTCTACCCTTACCTCTTTGTGTGAGTTAGGTTCTAGTCTTGTGATGCCTCCTTTAGGTTTTCTATCCTGTCCTCCATTAGTGCCAATAAACTTGTGACAAGTTTTGGGCTTCAGCAGTTCCGCTTTGGGCCAAACCTTTTTGATGGGCATTTACCCACGAGGGGATGGGTAACTTTGAGTACTTGATTGAAACTACATTCTTTCTTTTCTCTCTACTGCACACTAATTCTATTAAAGTTCTTTTCCATTGAAGGTCTTATGCACTGGTATATGTTCATTGTTATGCAGCAGATGGCAGAACCCATTTAGAACAGGCCTGGAATCCCCCTTATTCTGCCCTGTAATGTCTCTACTGCTCTTCTAGAACTCTAGACAATGGTGGACTTTCCTAAACCAGTTCTTTCGTTCAGCAATTAATGGACTGGGTGTGGTGATGCTGTCTGCCTTTGTCCTATAGCTTATTGGTTTGATTCTCACATATTTTCAGAACTAAAGTATCTAGTAAAGACATTACACCCAAATAGTATGGACATGTTTTAAAACACTTCAATAGTTGTATAGACAGTAGCTAAGAACAGACTCAGCATCATTAGGGGTGGATTCCAATAGTGCTGTTAGGGGGAAAGGATGTCCTGAGCTAATTCCGTGCAGGATTTATGGACTCCACCCCCACTCCAGACCAAGGCCATCAAGACATTGGGAAAGACAAATCCCATCATCACCAAAAGGGTTGCTAGGACCTGAGGGTGGAGTTAAGCAGCCAGGGTTGGTATAAAAACCAAACACGTGGGCCTTGGGGGAGGGGCTAGCTCTCTGACTCACCTCCTGGCTTCAAGGCCCCTGGCTTGCAGCTCTCACAGTGCCATTTGGGATTCCAGGTCTTCCAGGTCGGCGGATCGGGTAGGACTCATTTAAAACTTTGTCTCCCACTTTTCTCCCTGAGCTATACATTTCCTCATTTCCCCTTCCCTTGTAAATAAACCTTTTATTAACCTTCGCGTGTGCCTGCAGTAGAGTATTGATAAGTCCTTTTAAGCATGTGGTGAGGACCCATAGTCAGGCATCCCATTTTTTGTATCGGGGCTGCCCTGTAACAGTGCCATTTCTTTCACCATAAGATAACTCATATTTTTAGACTTTTTATTTTACTTCATCCTAAAAATAGAAGGATAGTGTCCTTAAGGAGTTGTTGTGAGGATAGCGTTAATATTTGTAAAGTCCTCAGAATAGTGCCCAGCAATAATCAGTACTTACGTAGTCATTTGGACCATAACCTCACAGAATCTCATGGATTTAAGTTTAAATACTCTTCAAATGAAAAGTCATTTTCTCAGCGTTCCCTAGTTGCTCCAGGCTTTCAGAAGCAAAAAAAGAGGGAAGATGGTTCCCACCCTTTAGGTGTGTATACTATACTATGGTTCAAAAACCTGAGTACGACCCTCCCTTTCATTCTTTGCAATTACATTCTTCAAATCACACTTTAAAAAAAAAAGCAAAAGTAATTTGCATATAATCTAAGAAAAAAAGCAGAGCATTTCCCTTGGCCACACTGAAGTCTATATGAACAGTGCGTGCTTAAACCCTGGTATTTCTAGAAGGGTGGTAATTAAGACCTCAATGAGCTGGAAGTCTCAGGAAACAAGTCTCAGGAAACAAGCCAGCGCGCGGGGGTCTCAGGGCAGGCTCAGCTCGCCCCGGAGCCCAGCAGCAGCGTCCACGCACCAAGCCCAGCCTTCGCGCTGACCGGGGCTGGCGGCCGCACCGAGGCTTCTCCCCACGCCCCCGCACTTCCAGAGCCAGGGAAAGTGAAGCACCCCACGCAGTGTCGGCGGCCATCGAGTGGGCAGGGCGCGGGGAGCCCCGCCGAAACCCCACGCCCCATCCCAGGGGGAGGGGCGCGCGCGGCGCCAGGGCAGCGGGCGGGGCGGGGACGGCCCCGGACGCGGAGCGCGCTTCCGGCGTGCGCGACGGCGCGCTGGGGCGGGGACGCCGGCGGCTCCCAATCGCGCACAATGAGACAGCGCTGAGCGCCGGAAGTGGGGCCGAGGGAAAACCCGGAGAGGGAGCCCAGCCGGGACAGGAAGAGGCGGAGGATCGCGGCGGCCGTGGTGAGTGCTGCCGGGCGCCTTCTCTCTGCGTTCCTGCCGGGCTTGCCTCCGGGGTGGGTCTTCGGTGGGCTCCCGGGTCTCTGGAGTAGAGGGCGGGTCGGGGCCGGGAGATACGTTGACTCAGTTCTTCGCCGGCTTCCTCTCCCCAGTTTCGAGGACTGGGAGCCCCCCAGCCAGCGGGGACTGAGTTCTCGGGTTCGACTCCGCGTTTTCACTTTGTGTCAGACACTGTCGGGGCCGAAAAAGAGGTTTGGATGGAGGCAGTCGTCCCGGCCCCGGTGCCGCCGGGGGAACCCCGGAACCCCATCGAGGAGGCAGGTCACTTCCTGCTTCCTGATCTCCCTTCGGTGGCCAGTAGTTGCTGGCCCCCCCCCCTTTTTTTGCCGCCTGCACCAAGGGTGGAAACTGAGGCAGATCGGGATGGGCGATCAGATGGAGATCGAACACGGAGAATCGCGGTTCTTGAAGGCATCAAACTTGCTTGGGGTTGGAGAGTGGGGAGGTTAGCAGTAGTTGCTCTTTGGTGGTAAACCCCGCCCCTATGACTAGAGCGGAGCCTTGGTCCGGAGCCCATCTCCTTCGTACCCCTAGCGAGCGAAGCCTGTCGTTTTTGATAGTGTTAAGGAAGCAAAGGCCCCGGGGTAAGAAGGGATAGAAGAGGAGCTGAGTGGAGATCTACTGTGTTCCCAAAAAGTATGGGTTACTTTGTGTAACACTTAAAAGTAACTGGCAGCTTAAAAAAAAAAAAAGATTCGAGAGTTTTGTGAATGTATGTATGGGCTTGGGGTGACGGTTTATTTTGAAGAGATACCTTTGTCATAAAGGCGATCTACTGGGTGTAACATTTTATGCTACAATTCTATAGACTATAGGGAGCTTCCCTTATTCAGTTTTAATCTTCGCGTGAAATAGTACTAATATCTATGAAGCATTTAGGACTAAATCTCTTAACTTCTCGTCTAATTATGCTGATTATGGGAGTGTGATTGGAATTTATTTTATTAAGAAAAGGCTAGAAAAGAATTACAGGCTTTTGATAATGTGCGCAATAAATGTGCGGTATTTTGTATACTTGGTATGACATTCTTGCTTGAGTTTGAAGTTTCCCTAAAATGCCTTTCAGGTGCAAAGTAAGAAAATTGAACTTAAAAGACCATGGGAGATGCTGCAAAACCTTATTTTGTGAAGCGTGCTAAAGACCGAGGGATTATAGATGAGGAGGATTTCAGAAGGGGTCATCTCCAACAAGATTATTTAATAATGGATGATTATGCTAAAGGTCATAGCAGTAAAGTGGAAAAAGGCCTTCCCAGAAAGAAAATAACACCAGGAAACTATGGGAATACCCCCAGAAAAGGACCATTTGCTGTTTCCAGCAATCCATATGCATTTAAAAACCCAATTTACAGTCAACCAGCTTGGATAAATGATAACCACAAAGATCAGAGCAAGAGATGGCTACCTGATGAGCTTCCTGGTAATTCAGACAGTTGGAGAGAGTTCAAACCTGGACCTAGAATTCCTTTTTTAAACCGACCAAGAAGAGACCCTGTTCAAGAAAATGAAGATGGTTATAGGTGGCAAGAGGGAAGAGGCTGCAGAACTATGAGACGGCTGTTTCATAAAGATCTAACAAGCCTAGAAGCCACATCAGAGATGGAAGCTGGAAGCCCTGGTAATATGTTCCTACTTGGCAAGTTACAACCCCAAAGTCAGCAATGTCTTTTCTTTTTAAATGAGTTTAATTATTTTCAGCAATGTAGATCCATTTCATAGCTTCTGATTATTTATATTTTTAAGGACTTTAGTAATCATGATATTAGAAACTTCAACACATTGCATATGTCAGTCCCTTTAAAAGTTAACTTTGCCATAAGACTTATTTTGCTTTTGTAAACATCTCTCTTTGATGCTTGTGAGGAACTGTACCATAGTTTCTGAGTAGTGTGTATGTTATTTTCTAAATTATTTATTATTTCATATGGAATAATGAATGGGTCCATAAAATGAACAATAGAATATAAAGCTAAAAAATAAAAGTGCTTGATTTAGAAATACATGCACTGCATATATTTCCTGCTTCAGAGGGATAATATCTTTTGGTTGGCGCATCAATCTCCAGAGGAAAGTAGTTCAAGATTATGCTTCTGAAAAGGAAGCAATGCAGGGCCTCCCTGGTGGTGCAAGGGGTTAAGCACTGCACTATGAAGTAATCCAAGGAGGCCTCTGCAGCACGAGTTCAATCCCTGGCTGGCCAGGGAGCAAACCAGCCAGGGAGCAACCCACATGGCACAGCAGACCTCTCCTGACTTGCCCTCTGCTCCCCTCAGCAGTGTATTTCACTCAGTCTGCCTGTTCTGTTCCCCACTCTGTCTCACCACCCCATCCCCCCCATCTCTGGCATGTACCCCAGCTCTTGTATGCATAAATAAATAATTTTTTTTTTTAAAGAACACTTTTTTTTTTTAAGATTTATATATACAAGCACTGGGTACAGTCAGAAGCACGGGAGGGAGAGAGAATTCACCAGAGCCAGAGTGGGTAACAGAACAGGCCGACTGACAAAACACACTGCTGAGGGGAGCAGCGGGCATGGCAGGAGAGGTCTGTCGTGCCATGTGGGACCTCACTGGCCAGAGGGGATCGAACCAGAGCTGCAAGGCTGCGGGCTTCTCAACCCAGCGCTCAGCCACTGCACCACCAGGGGAGGCCCAATAAATAAATCTTTAAACAAACAAAAAAAAAGCATGGCTAACAAAGATTGAGAAACATTTAAGTTTCAAGTCAGAAATGCAGATAAAAGCTTGCCTTTTGATTTAATTAAAACCAAAACCCATTTTTAAGTGCTCAGTATGTAATAATTGCCCCAAAGTAATCGTTGACACCCTTTTTCCCCCAAAAGGTGAAAGTAGATTATCCATGTCGTAATGAATTCTATAATTGGGAAAATAACTTACGTAGTAAACAATAATTACTGAAATGAATGAAGCCATAAATTTAAAGGAAAATAAAATTATATTTAGCCTGAAAATGCAACTTATGGTGGAAAATAATACTTGGGATAACAAACTCTTAAGTTTATTGGCTCTAAGCCTTTTTTAGTAACCATAAAAAACGGATTGTGAACTACTGAGCACTTTTGAAGTATTTAGTATTTAAATGCATCTCAGCAATGTTGGTACCTTCTAGGTCCCCAGAGATGCTTTTCCTATTACCTCATGGTAGCTAGCGTATAAGTATGTGTTACGTGTACTTGAATTTGTGACCTGACATTTAACTTATGGGAAAAAGTTATTTAGTCTTGTGATGGTTAGAATTAAATGAGAAAAAAGGTCTTATATTTTTAAGGTAAGAAAAGCGAAAGAAAATTTCTTCTAGTTATGATGGAATCAAACCATAGGGAGAGCATTTAGGTAGTAAATTTTCAAGGTAGGAAGAACTTGAAGGAATTGTCTGAAGCAGTTTATGTTAATCAAAGGTAGAATCATAATTTTGCAAAGCAGGCAGTTGCACCAAAAAGGGATTAAATTTATCCAGACTTGTTTGTGCAGAGTGGTAGATGAGGAAGTGAAACTGTACTAAGGTATTGAGTTATTCTGGCCATTAATTTCAGGCTCCCTGGGCCTGGAATCTGACAGTGTCACTGAATAATCATTGTTCATTTCTGGGCTTTTCAGTTTGTGTTTTTTTTTCTAAAAATTCTTACATGTACTCTTACTTGTTCATATAAAGCAATTTCTGTAGTTGCCTTTAAGTGCTTTAGAACAAGAAATACATTTTTAATGTGTTTTTATTGGTGGTGCTCTAAAAAATCCCATATTTTTTCTGTATGATGTACAGGTGTGTTTCACAGTTGTTAAGAGGGGGTACTATTTGGCTCTATCTCTTGAAAATCTTGCTAAAGAAAAAAGTGAAATTTGGTATACTGTAGGGAGAGAGTCTAGGTATAAACTTCCCAGGGTATTCCAAGGATCTTAAAAAAGGTCTTAAAGGCACTTAATAAGGAAGGATTTTATTAAATGATTTGGGAAAATTATCTTAGAGTTGCTTTGTGTTTTACTACTTCCTTTTTTTCAATCTTCCTTTTTTTCAACCTCTCCTACTTCATCCTTCATATATCCTAGATTGCCAACTTAATGTATTTGGTACAATGCTTTTAACTGGCACAATGCATAATGATTTTAACTGGAAAACATCCACTCATATGCATGTCCTTTGGGAGTGGAATAATGGGCCATATGCAAATAAAGTATGGGAAACTTGGAATGCTGTGTAGAGAGAATTCATATTACTACAACCATAGCTTGAGCCAGATATTGTTCCTGTAAGTAAATTGTGGGAGTTTTTTGAACAATATCCAGCTTTGCCTTCGAAGATTCCCTCCAATGATGTTTTATATGACTTTTATCATGCAGGCCTCTGAACTCAGTTCAGAAGTTTATATTACCTTTTTGATTCTGGTGTATTCTACGTGGTGAATGGGTATGCTACACAAAGAGATGTAAGATTTTTTTTCAGTTCTTAATATGATTTAAATAGAAGACTGAATTTCAGAATTCTAACCATTTTCTGTGTTTTGGATCATTGACTTAGTCGTGTGTCCTTGGATAAGTTACTTTTTTTCTTGGACCAGTATTTTCCCCATCTGTACAATAGGGATAATATTAGCATCCATGACAGAATCACTATAGTAATTAAAAGAGGCAATGCACATAGAGTGCTTCAGTTGCATCTGTCACCTAATAAAATGCTCAGAAATGTTAACTGCCCCCATCATCTTCCTCAGGCCTCCATTTTTCTCTGTAACAACATTAAGGAGTTCATTGTACTCTTTGGAGAGAAATTGAAGTCACTGTAGAAAATTACAGCAAATACAGTTATTTTTGAAGTATTTATTTTGGAATAAGAGAGGAGGAGTTAAGAAAGAAATATGTTTCTGTTTTACTATCTTGTGAAATAAAAGACTTTTTTTTTTTTGAAGATTTATTTATTTATGCATACAAGAGCTGGGCTGTAGGCCAGAGATGAGGGGGGTGTAAGAGGATTCACCAGAGACAAAGTGGGGAACAGAACAGGTGGGTCTACTGAAATACACTGCTGAGGGGAGCAGCAGGTGAGTCGGGAGAGGTCTCACTTATAAGTTTTTTAAAAAGGAATAGACCTGTCAGATTTATCATTAAGGATTTATAGAACTTATAGCAAAGTTTATTAAATGAATTAGTTTGTACTTAGAACTTTCATTAGTAGAAGCTTTTATTTCAACTGCTAATTGTTTTTTCCTTAGAAATGTTCTTAGGGGCCTCCCCGGTGGCGCAGCGGTTGAGCGCTGGGTTGCGAAGCTGCCCGCGGCCTCTGCGGCGCCGGTTCGATCCCCGGCTGCTCCCCGGCCACCGGCGGAGGATCCCACATGGCGCGCAGACCTCTCCTGCCGCCCGCTGCTCCCCTCAGCAGTGTACTTCGGTCCTTCTGCCTGCTCTGCTCCCCGCTCTGGCTCTGGTGAATTCTCTCACCCTCCCGCGCTTCTGACTGTACCCAGTGCTTGTATAAATAAATAAACAAACAAATAAATAAATAAATAAATAAATAAATCTTTAAAAAAAATTTAAAAAAAAAAAAAAAAAAGAAATGTTCTTAGTGTACAGGTCATTCAAAGAATCTGAAATGAAAGTAAAGAAAAAGGGAAAATAGTTGTTTTCAGTAAATGAAATTTTGGTATGTACTTCTTGGTATTAATGTCAAGAGAAGCCCCAATTACTGAAGGCTAGATTTACAATTCAGTGACGAATTTTTCACTCCAGACAAGAATATAGCTGATTTCTGTGTTCTCCAGAGGTATATTGTTTATTTGCCCTCTTGAAGTTGTTCACATATAAAAAATTAAAGCAAATGTGGATAGTTTTTGTTAGAATAATAGGTATTCTTAACAGGTATACAAGGATATATATAGAGTCATTTTCATTATGCATTATATTAGGTGTCTTAAAATTACAGGTGTATTTGTGTGTGATAATTTTTACTGTTGCCTGAGTGTGTCTAGTAGTGTACCAGAAAGAGATGATAAAATTAAATTTTATGATGGAAGTAGAATTCTTTTCACATTTTTCCAAAATGCTGATTTTGTTTTGGTGTGCCCAAGTGTTTAATGTGTATTCAAGCATTTTTATCCATGAAGAACGATCTTTCTTTTGGTTTATATTCAGATTTCATTCAGACATTGCATGATTTAGTGAACAAATTTGTAAATTCTGCTCTTTACTCAGGAGCGGTATTATTTCAATATTGCTAATAATATTTTCCCCCTAACTTAAGAAAACAAGAAGCAGAGGTCCAGACCTAGGAAGACACGAAGGACTAAAAATGAGGAAAGTGAACAGGAGGGAGACTTGGAAGGCCCTGTGATCGATGAATCTGTGCTTTCAACCAAGGAGCTACTGGGCTTACAACAGGCTGAAGAGCGATTGAAAAGAGATTGCATTGACCGGCTAAAAAGGGTAAAATCTTGATTTTGGTCTAAACTATTACTAATTAAGAATCCATGCTTTAATGAATTAAATACTCTGTTTTGCTTATTCATATTTCAGCATTACTAGTTAAAAAGTTGACTCAAATAAAAATAACTGTTAGGATAGTGATGATGATAATTGTAAAATGAAGGGGAAGTTATTTTCTGGATAATTTTTACCTGTACCTTCGAGGATTAATATTTATGTCTGTAAATCTCAAATTACAGCGACCGCGAAACTACCCTACAGCAAAGTACACCTGCAGACTTTGTGATGTTTTAATTGAATCCATTGCATTTGCCCATAAGCACATCAAAGAGAAGAGGCACAAGAAAAACATTAAGGTAAGCTTAATGTAACCGAAACAAATAAGGTTTACCTGTAAGTTGTTACTATCTTTGTGACTTTCTTTTTTTTTTTATATATTTCTATTTATTTATGCATACAAGAGCTGGAGTGTAGGTCAGGTGTGGCAGAATGGCAGGTGAGAGGATTCATCAGAGACAGAGTGGGGAGCAGAACAGGCAGAGTGACTGAAATACACTGCTGAGGGGAGCAACGGGCGAGAGAGGAGAGGTCTGCTTTGCCTTGTGGGTCAGCTCCCTGGCTGGGATTGAACTCATGCTGCACTGGCTGCAGATGGCTTCATAGTGCTGAGACTTAACCCCTTGTGCCACCAGAGAGGCCCTATCTTTGTAACTTCTTAAGAACTGTGATTTTTAATAACTTCATTGATTTTTTTTTTTTAAAAAAAAGATTTGTTTATTTATGCATACAAGAGCTGGGGTACAGGCCAGAGATGCGGGAGGGTGAGAGGATTTACCAGAGACAGAGTGGGGAACGGAACAAGCAGACTAAGTGAAATACACTGCTGAGGGATGCAGCAGGCAACACAGGAGAGGTCTGCTGCACCATGTGGGTTGCTCCCTGGCGGGCCCGGGATCAAACTCATGCTGCAGAGGCTTGGGATTGCTTCATAGTGCGGTGCTTAACCCCTTGCACCACCAGAGAGGACCAACTTTATCATTTATATTGAATTTATTTAGCCCAAACATTTTATGCTAGCCAGATACGTTTTGCTAGGCAGTTTCATGAATTTTCTTAAGGACAGTATCAGAAAGAATGAAATCATTGGTAAGAGCTAAGTGTATGTCCTTATGTCAGTAATAATAAATCAAATAATGTTTTTTATTACTGATTTCGATGTTTCTGCCTTACATGTTGTCTCAGTGAATCACAGAAGATAAAAATTATATGAGTAATTTTTATTTTTTACTTATTTATTTTAAATATATATTTTATTTATTTACAAGAACTGGGGTTTAGGCCAGAGGTACAGGGAGTGAGATGATTCACCAGAGACAGAGTGGGGAGCAGAACAGGCAGATCTACTGAAATACTGCTGAGGGGAGCAGCAATTGAAACAGGAGAGGTCTGCTGTGCTATGTGGGTCACCTCCCTGGCTGGGGATTGAACTTGTGCTGCAGTGGCTGGTGATAGCTTGATAGTGCTGAGACTTTTATCCGTGCACCACCAAGGAGGCCTGTATGAGTAATTTTTAACTCAATATTGATCTTAAAGGAGAAGCAGGAGGAAGAGTTGCTCACAACACTACCCCCGCCGTCACCCTCCCAGATAAATGCAATTGGTGTTGCCATTGACAAAGTGGTACAAGAATTTGGCTTACACTGTGAGAACTTGGAACAGAGACTAGAAATTAAACATGTGATGGAAAATGTGTTCCAACACAAGTTACCAGGTATTTTCTACATTTGTTTATCTACTTAACTACCTAAAGTTTCTTCATTTTTCATACCATTAGTAATTTTCATCTAGTTAAAGTTGATTTGAAACGCTTCATTTTTTGTGTGTTTTTATTTTCCTTGTTTCCCTCAAATAAACAAAAACTTTTACATGCATTATCATTAAACCTACCTTCATTATAAAATAATGTACTATCTACATGTACTTTAAGTTAAATGCCCTGCATTATTGGGGAATTATGGAACTCTTATCCCCTTGTCCATTTTCACTGCACATAATTCTCTTTTATGTTTATTGAGGTAAAGTAGGTTTACATCATTGTGTCTGCTCTGTGAGTTATAATTTGAAACCTCTATTTATGTATCCCTTAACACACTGCCTGTAATCAATGCCCCAACAATCTGATACAGGGCAGCAAAGGGCTCTAAAATTGGCCAAGGACACTGCCCAAATAGTTTACTAGTCACCATCTGAGTTCTTCACCCACACACATGCTTGCAAGACTACTCAGGTTCAGAGAACAACAATAATGGGATTTATTTAACAAACCAAGGAAAAGCAAAGAGTCACTGATGCCAAAAATGGCAGTTTACCTCACCCGAAGCAGTGTCCAGTGTTTTGAAGTCCTGAACACAAGATGATGTCTTCCTGCCATTGCAGACATGGAGCACATGGCAGCCAGACTATAGGCCAGGTTCCAACTCACAAAGACAGAGGAAAACACAACAGGAGATGCTCACGGAGCTGCCAAGATGTCCCAGCACAGCATCAGACATGTGACACTCAAAACAGCAGTGGCCAAACTACCCAACAAGTAGCCCACATTCATGCAGCTCAGCAAGGCACCTGGCTGTGGGTCTTTGCCTGTTTTCCAGGCTGTAAGAGCAGCCAAACCATGAGCAGTTTCAATTGCTTGGCCACTTCCAAAGCCTCCCGACTTTTCCTCTCTGAGGTTGGCTGCTGGAAGCCTATCCACATTCTTCAGAGGCCCACAACATACTTCTGGAAGATAGGCATGGTGTGGGCAGAAATCACTGATCCCACTTTCCCTGAAGATCTGGAAAAGCTGAAATCCCAGGCATTGCAGCCCTTATATTTCTTATCAGAGTCTCCACCCATACTGATTTTTTTTTTCCCCCCACATCTTCCCTGGGGCTGTCTATCCTCACCAGTACCCTCACCAGGGGGCACCACCTATAACAGTCTTTGGTTTTAGCCACCGGTTCCAAATCTACTATGTTCCATTGGGTCACTTCCCTACTACCCTCCAGCTCTGGTTGCCTCAGTTCTGTACATAATTCTCTCAAATCCCTAACATTTTGTTCAAAATATTGATATCATCTTTTTTTTATAGCTATATAATATGCCATGGTGTGGATATACCATACCTTGATCCAATCAAAATCCATCAGTGGTCATTTAGGCTCCTAGATAGTGTAAATTGTACTTCTATAAACATTGTGAAAATACAATTTTACTTTTATGGGATGTTTTAATCAATGATTCCATCTTTGAAATAACAGTGTTTTGTTATAACTTTTGAGAAATTTTACTTTACTTCTGACTTTATTTAAATTTTTTTAGATTGTTCTCTGAGATTATATGGCTCATCATGTAGCAGATTGGGTTTCAAAAATTCAGATGTAAACATTGACGTTCAATTTCCAGCCATTGTAAGTACAAAATGTTTGAATTTTCACAGTGTTATGGAAATTCTTTTTTTTAATTGTGAGCTACAAATGATTTTATTTTAGATATTTGAAGACAGTTCAGCTGTAAAAGTGGAAACTTCTTTTCTTCAAGTTTCTATTTTTATGTCTTTCCTGCTTTGACTTTTACAGCATTTCTTTTACTACACCACAGACTTTGACTTTTTACTCTGTAGATGGTTCATGCTTACTTAAACACAGATTTTCCTTTTTCTTTTTTTTTTTAAGATTTATTTATTTATGCACATAAGAGCTGGGGTACAGACCAAAGATGTGGGGGGTGAGAGGATTCACCAGAGACAGAGTGGGGAACAGAACAGGCAAACTGACCAAACCACACTGCTGAGGGGAGCAGCGGGCGAGACAGGAAAGGTCTGCTGTGCCATGTGGATTGCTCCCTGGCCTACCAGGGATTGAACTCATGCTGCAGAGGCTGCAGATTGCTTCATAATGCGGTGCTTAACCCCTTGCGCCACCAGGAAGGCCCCCTCACCAGCACCCAGCACTGATTTTCTAATTCTCAATGTAATGAAGGTATTTAGGTTCTGTTAACTTAAAAAAATTAGATTTTCTTGGTAAAATAGGCTTTCAATGATAGGAAAGGATTTCAGATTTTATATTTATTTTCTTTTTTTTTAAAAGATTTATTTATTTATATACACAAGAGCTGGGGTACAGCCAGAGATGCGAGGAGTGAGAGGATTCACCAGACACAGTGGGGAACAAAACAGGCAGACTGAAATACACTGCTGAGGAGAGCAGCAGGCAAGACAGGAGAAGTTTGCTGCGCCAGGGCTGCTCTCTGGCTGACCGGGGATTGAACTCGTGCTGCAGAGGCTGCGGATTGCTTCATAGTGCAGTGCTTAACCCCTTGTGCCACCAGGGAGGCCAGATTTCAGATTTTAAACAATGTAGGCATATAAAAAGTTATGACCAGAAAGCTTAATTAGCTCCTGAATTCCCTCCTTTATATACCTATTTCGTTAAAATAATTAATGCTTTTGAAGAGCTACACCCAGACTAGATTACTGGTTTAAACATGATTCAAATGTATGTTGAGTAAGAATTTAAAATTGGAAGGCACTTGAGTAGATTTCCTTTTTATCCACTGATGATTTCCAGACCCATTTGCATATGGTTTATGCTCATTTGACTGGATTGCTAGTTACAAATACAGATGCCAGAGGCCCACCCTCAGATGTTCAATTTCACGACCTTTCATTCCTTGCCATCCTTGACTGCTATAGCGACGTGGTCTGTTGAACAAATGATTTTGCTTTTCCTTGCACCCTATATTCTGATTAGTAATTTACTAGCATAGTAGTTATTTTGGCCTCATGTCACTTTTTCATTTAGCAGTATTCAGTCACTATTATATGCCAAACACTACTGGATTCTAGAAGACAAAACAAACAAGGAACTCATACTTAGTGAAGGAGATAGGTAACTGCATATATATAATTACAATGAGAACTATGCAAGGAAACAAGGTTCTGTGACAAGGCAACAAGGAATGTGCAGATTCAGTAGTCATGATGGCATCTTTGAATAGAGAACATTTAAGCTGAGCTCTAAAAGATGAAAAATGGGTGAGGTTAACAGTGTTTCAGGTAGGAGGAGCATCATTTGCAAACATTGAATTAGTAAGGAGCTTGGCTTAGCAAAGAGCTGATAGGAGTGTATAGCTCTGGTGAAGGGACCAAGAGAGAGAACAACAAAGGTAAGATGGCCATAAACTGGGTCCCAACATGCAGCATCTTGTAGGTCAAGGCACTTTCAATTTGACCTAAGGACAGTAAGAAACCACTGAGAGTTTTAAAGGAGGGGCATGACTAGATCTAATCATTTTAAATGGTTTTGGTTTTTACCTGGAGCAAAGATCAGATAAAGATAAGACTAAAACCAGCTGAGACCAGTAAGCTATCTTTGGAAATAGCTTTACAGAGTGAGGTAATACTGTTCATAGTTAGACAGCTTCTAGTCACAACATTGAGATTTGCCCAGAGACCAATTACCTCAAGAATTGGTTAATCAAGTTCATGGTACTAGTCTTTCTTGCCCACATTCATTCTTGTTTGGTGTTCCATTAGTTTTAGGTAATTTGGATAACTTCAGATGACTATGTACAGTGAAGCAAAAGTACTTACTGATAAATTAATGTATTGATTTATTTTCTAGATGTGTCAGCCAGATGTTCTCTTACTTGTTCAAGAATGCTTAAAGAGCAGTGGTAAGACCAAATTCTTTTCACATTTTGCTCTTAAAGATTACCTGTGTCTCTAATTTGAATATATCTTAATTCTCTAACTTTGAAAATATGAAGTATGTTTTAAATTCATATGGGAAATATCTAAATAGAAAAGACAAAGCAGATGCCTATAAATTATTAGCAAGTTAATTGGAGTGCTTTTAGTTATTCTACTAGAATAACTATTTTATAAGTGAAACTTTAGCTTGGTAATATCACAGCACATAAAGATTAAATGAGTTCTGGACTGAGACTAAAAGGATGAAGAATATGTGAAATTTACTCTAAACGGTAAAACTAAAGGAAAACCTACTTTATTCAGGTTTTTATTTTTTAAAGATTCATTTATTTATGCACACAAGAGCTGGGGTACAGGCCAGAGGTGTGGGGGGTAAGAGGATTCACCAGCGAAAGTGAGGAACAGAACAGGCAGATTGATTGACCAAAGTGTATACTGCTGAGGGGAGCAGCGGGCTAGACAGGAGAGGTCTGTTGCACCATGTGGGTTGCTCCTTGGCTGGCCGGGGATCGAACTTGTGCTGCAGTAGCTGAGGATAACTTCGTAGTGCTGTGCTTAACCCCTTGCATCACCAGGGAGACCCTATTCAGTTTAAATTAGACTTTATAAGTGATAAATATGTGCGATTCATTCCTGATTAGTGAATTAATAAATAGTTGTTATAGGTTAGGTTTACTAGTTGTCCAGAGTAATGTTCAGCTTAGCACTATGACTTTTTATACTTATTAAACATTTTCCTCATTAAACTCTCTTGTCATTTGAAAGATCTTTTGTATCCTTCTTGTTAAACATTTAAGCATTCTTTTCATTCAATATATATTTTGACCCCAAGTTTTTAGTAACTTTGCAGCAATTTTGTTTTTGAATGTCCCTTTCATTTTCTAATTATGTTATCCACATAAAATTTAAATACTGTGATTCAATGTAGTCATTTCTGATGAAAAATTAGGTTTGCAAAATAAGGGTTTTAAATTTGATTACTTGATTCTCAAATGTACTATTTTCTTTTCTTTTTCTTTAATTAATTAACTTATTTATTTATACAAGCACTGGGTACAGTCAGGAGTGGGGGAGGGTGAGAGAATTCTCCAGAGCGGGGAACAGAATAGGCAGATGGACGAAATACACTGCTGAGGGGAGCAGCGGGCGCGGCAGGAGAGGTCTGTCGCGCCATGTGGGACCCTCGCTGGTGGGCAGGGATCGAACCAGCGCTTCAGAGGCTGCGGACAGCTTCTCAGCCCAGCACTCAACTGCTGCGCCACCACTTTCTTTTCTTTTTTAAGTCAGCTCAGAGCTTTATATTGTAATGGTTTTTGCGAAGACCAAACTGGATCAAGTCACAACTCATATTTGTCCTTTATCTAGTTCTTATTTTAACCAAGGGTTTAATGGAGCCACTTAATTTTTTTTCCCTTCTTCAGATTCCTTTATTGATGTTGATGCAGATTTCCATGCTAGGGTGCCAGTGGTCGTGTGCAGAGAAAAACAAAGGTCTGTTTATTTAAGTTGTTTTTATATTAAATGTCAACTTGCCAAAACCATATGTACTTTGCTATTAATATCCAGTTTTAGAATGATAAGCTCCTTATGTAGTTAGTTTCACAGGCTCTACTGTCATTCTTCCTATACTCCTGGAATTTGATGCAAGAGGAAAGAGGCTTTATTTTTTTAAAATAAGAGTAGATTCAAAGGAAATAATGTAGGAAGGTAGCATTTTGATTCATTTCTACTCAGTAAAAGACAACTTTATCAATTGGTTACTTCTCTAATCACCTTTATTTAATATCCTTTTAAGCAGAGTTTTTAGCAGTGTAGAATAACAATTAGTGTGTGTTACCCTATGCGTTTTTCCCTCCTTCAAGAACCATTGCCATCATCACCATAAACTGGTGGTTTATAGGCTATTATTCTTTATTAGGTAGATTCCTCCAGTTCCTTCTTTTACTCTGACAAAGATGAATTCATGGCTCCCATTTGAAACATCCTATAGTATTCTCTTGTTGGCATTTCACCCCCCTTCCCCCCTCCCCCAAATAATTTCAATATTATGAAAACACAAAGTTTTATTTCTGGAAAAGTAAACTCAGAAAATACCTTTTAAAAATCCAACTTCTTAAATGAATCAAAGATTTAGTGCTTTTTTTTTTTCTTATTTTTATTTTTCAGGTAATTATTAGTATTAGGTAGTTAGTATAAAAGAGCTGGTAACTGTGTAACACTTTTTTCTCTCTCATTTTCATTCCCATTCCCGACACCCACAGTGGTCTGCTTTGTAAAGTGAGTGCAGGAAATGAAAATGCTTGTCTGACAACAAATCATTTAACTGCCCTTGGAAAGCTAGAGTCAAAACTGGTTCCTTTGGTGATTGCATTTAGGTACTGGGCCAAGGTAGGTTTGGGTTCTTTAAATTCATGAATATATTCTATGAAGGCATAAAGTAGTGAGCTTTGACTTTTACATAGTTAATTTGATCTTAAACATTGGTTGTGTATTTTTAGATGTCAAGAAAGTAGGAATCTGAGTATTGGAACAGAAATTTTCGTGTGTACAGGAAGGAAAATTTTGTATTTGTTTCACTGTTTACAGTATTACTCAAAGGTCCAAATGGCTTACAGTGCATAATAAAAATCAGATTTGTGGGTCAGATCCCAAAGGATATGACTTGGGAATTTGCAGTTTAACTAGGTGCTCATTTGGCACAAGAAAGTTTGAGAAAAAACTTTTCATATCATTTCTAATAACATACCCAGACACTCCAAAAGAGTAAAAGTTGTAATAGCATTGCTTATATTTTCATAATGTTCTAGTATTCAACTGTGAAGTGCTCTAACAAACTTTAGAATAGTTAGTGTTCCCCCAAATTGTAAGGTCCCATCATGATTATTAAATTGAAATCCTCTGTAAGTACTTTATAGAGAAAAGTCTCTGCTTTTACTGATTTTTTAAGGTTTGGCAATAACAACGCATAGTTCCTCTTGCTTGAGTTCAGGATGACCAGAGAATGCCCCACTCTTAAATGGGTAAATTGATAATTACAATATGCCATCTTTTAAAAGCCACCTCCTGTTCTTTCATTAAGGAGTGCTTTTGAAGTTGTTACTTATGTTAGTGCTCATGAGTTTGCTTGCATTCTGTGCTCTAATCACCTGCCTGACCAAAGAATGCATTTTGAAGGCAGTTTATTAGGATGAAGGGACCAATAAACAAAGCCAATTGACTTGTAGTTAGAGTTGAACCATCATTTTAAGTTCATTAGCAAGTGTTAAAACCAAGTGAATGAGTTTATTGTGGCTACCACAATATAAAATAGCAAACATTATTTTATAGCCCTATCCCAGTAAGTTTAGTTAACAAGATTAGTATTTGAAATCAATGCTGTCATAACTTGTGGTTGCTGCAAAAGTATATAAGGAAGCTTTACAGTTTGTCACTGAGGTATTTTGTTATCATATGCTGCACAGACAGGAATACAGTTACAGATTTCAGACCACATTGTGTCCATAACAATTTGGTACACAAAAATGCTTATCCTCTTTTTTTTTTTTTTTTTTTTTTTTTTTTGTAGCTTTGCAGTATAGATCGCCCTGAAGAAGGAGGTTTGCCACCTTATGTGTTTGCCCTGATGGCCATTTTCTTTCTTCAGCAGAGGAAAGACCCCCTTCTGCCTGTTTATCTAGGATCATGGGTAAAAGACTTTTTGTTTCTATATCTCATGCTAATGTTACCACAGGCCCATTATCTCTTTTGCATAATATCAGAAATATGAAAATATAACTAGAATTGACATGTATTCATTTATTCTAGTGTGCCTGTTCATACCTCTTATTGCCAAAATATTATATTTGATTACAAGATGCTGCCCTATATTTTACTCTGGGTATCATTGCTTCTCTAAATTGAAAAAAACTTAACTTGTGAAAAACATTGTCCTGAGAGTTTCAAGTAAGAGCATTGCACCTATAATAAATTTATGATATGGTACATGGCTTTCTTTGGGTACAGTTTTATAATTTGTTAATTGAATTTGAATATTATCTCTAGGAAGACTGTAGGAAAAATTTAGTTTACTATAACTTACTTTTTATTTTTAGTCTCTTAATGGTTTTATTCTCCATTTTTTAAACAAGAAAATGTGTGTTAAGATTGCTACCTATTCCACAAGATACAGTGGAATAGGTAGTTAGTCTCTTGAATAATACTTTGGTATTATCTTTAGTAAGACTTCAGTAATGTTGCCGAAAGAGTGTTACCTTTCTTTGTGGATAAATTAAGTTCAGTTGATATATTCTAATGGAATTTAAGAAGTCACGTCAAAGTCAAACTACTGTTACTCTCATCCTCTTTATTCCCTTCCTTTAGCTTGATAAATCTTATACACATTATAGACAGACTAATTTGTAGGATGCTAACTTTGGCACATTGGGTATTTTAACTATTTTCTATACAGAACTGTCATCTTTTAAGGAGGACATGTTCTAGATACCTAAAAATATAATTGTAGGGAATTATTTCTTTTACGCTTAATGGATGGAGAAATAAACACGGATCTTCATCTGTCAAAACATGGGAATAAATTCTAAAGCTCAAGATAAAGTCTGTTCTGCCATGAGGAGTTGCACTTTGCTTTGTGTCCCAGTTGGCCTAACAGTGGCTTTCTTTGTCCTTTTAGTACTGAAATAAAAGAATTTAGGGCCCTGAGAAATACCTCTGCTAGACATCTTATCTGGTGGGAAAAAAAGAGTGAGAGAACAAGGTCATCCCATAGCTGATAAATCATCCTTTCTCTCAGACCCAAATAGGTATTTGTGGAAATCTTTGAAGTTTTACCTTTGACCAAGAAAGAGCAGGTTAGAATGGAACCAAATCAGTTGGATTCCTATGTCCAAAAGGGCCCTAGATGTGTAGCCATACTCAACTTTTGTCTTACCCTTTTCTTGCATTTCCGATCACCTGTATGTGGTCATCTGTCATTGACATCAGGTTGCAGGGGAAAAGGTACTGTTCTGGTGATGAGATTTTCCTCAGAGTTCCCTTAGGAGTACTATGAATAACCTTTTCTATATATGAATAGCCTTTTCTATGGCCAGTGTATTACTTCCTGAGTAGTCAAACGAAATTCTATAAAATTTGACACTGAATTTGTTTTGATTTTGATTATGTTATTTGTTTATTTAAGATTTAATGACTAAAACAGGTATGTGGTAACCAAACACTGGATCGAATTTTGTGTACCAAATACGGCAATTTCTACTGACTGAACCAAAATGATCCACAATTTCCAGTGTTTTAAACTACTCAGACACCCATATGCTGACTTCAGCTAGAGTTTTAATCAAAAATGTAAATCCATGAGGAGAAAGAAATTATATTAATGTGTTACTCAGGCCAGACAATCTTACATGCAATTCAATTTTTTCTGCTGAAAATCCATTGAAGATTGCAAAATTACATGTATGGTAGTGACTAAACAATTCCTTCAAAATTTTTTAAAGTGCTGTTTCCTTTGGTCATTGATTGGGCTAGGCCCTGGAGGGACCAAACAAGACTAATTTCTTTCAAGAACTTTAGAGTATATTTCCTCTGGGCTCTGATCTGTCTTTTCAAAACTTTGAACCATTCTCTCCCAATCTACTCAAATCTTCATGTCTGAGATGAGCCTCTCCGACTTCATTATAACTCCCATTTTAAGGTAATTAGATCTTGATATGATTAAAGGTTCATCAGAGCAAATTGTGAATGATGAATAGGTTTAACTTTGTCCTATGAGCATCTTTTGTAACCTACAACAGTACTTAACTGGTTTTCTATAGATAGTATTTAATATCTGCCTTATTTGTAGTGCGTAACCTTTAACAAGCAATATTTATTTCTTAAAACTATTTTAATATTGAGGGTTACATTTTTGCTCTACCTTGTGTGTACATGTTGTACTCACCTTCCACCAAACCATCGGTGCCCATATCCCATCTTTCTCCCTCCCCATGCCTTCCTCCTTACCACCACTTCCATTAGCAACCATTATATTCTTTAACTGACATAGATTTATTCCCACTCTACTTAGCTTGTGTATTTTTTTTTTTTGTTATTTATATTCCACAAATAAGTGAAACTGTGATATATGTCTTTTACTTTTTGAGTTACTTCCCTTAACATGATTACCTCAAGGTCCATCCATTTTGTCCCAAATGCCGTATTTCATCTTCACTTCACAGTTGTGTAGTATTTCATTAAGTATATATCCCACTGTGTAGTAGTTCATTGAGTATGTGTACCACAATTTCTTCACCCATTTGTCTGTTGAAGGTTGGTGCCCTTGCATTGGCAGTTGTGAACAGTACTTCAATGTACATAGGTATAGATACATTTTTTTGTAATAGAGTTTTCATATTATTTGGAGAAATACCTAATGGAAGTATTACCAGATCATACAAAATTTCCTTTTTTTTTTTTAAAGATTTATTTATTTATACAAGAACTGGGGTACAGGTCAGAGGCACGGGAGAATGAGAGAATTCACCAGAGAGAGCGGGAAGCAGAACAGGCAGACAGACTGAAGACATTGCTGAGGCGAGCAGTGGGCGAGGCAGGAGAGGTCTGCTGCGCCATGTGGGTTTCTCCCTGGCCAGCTGGGAGAGGCTGCAGACAGCTTCACAGTGCAGTGCTCAACCCACTGTGCCACCAGGGAGGCCCTCTTTTCTTTTTTTAAGATTTATTTATTTATGCATACAAGAACTGGGGTACAGGCCAGAGGTACATGGGGTGTGCAGATTCACCAGAAACAGGAGCAGAACAGGTGGATTGACTGAAATACACTACTAAGGGGAGCAGTGGGCGATACCGCAGAGGTCTGCTGCACCATGTAGGTCAGATCCCTGGCCTTGGATTGAACTCAGGCTGCAGTGGCTGCGGATAGCTTCAGAGTGCTGAGACTTAACCTCTTGTGCCACCAGGGAAGCCCCTCCATTTTTATTAAGAAATATCCATACTGGTTTCCACAGGAGCTACACTAATATTCCCATTAACAGTGGATGACAGTTCATTTTGCACCACAACCTCATGAACATTTGTGTATTCAGTTCTTTATTTCTAGTTTCACAGGGGTGAGATGATACATCATTGAGGTTTGGATTTGCCTTTACCTTATAGTAAGTCATACTGAACAATTTTTCACATGTTTCTAGGTCGTATGATCGTCATTTTTTTTTTTTTTAGATTTATGTATTTATGCAAGAACTGGGGTACAGTCAGATGCACAGGAGGGTGAGAGGATTCACCAGAGACAGAGTGGGGAACAGAACAGGCAGACTGACTGAAATACACTGCTGAGGGGAGCAATGGGTGAGACAGGAGAGGTCTGCTGCGCCATGTGGGTTGCTCTGGCTGGCCAGGAATCAAACCTGCATTGGAGAGGCTGTGGACAGCTATATAGCTTGGCGCTCAACCCATTGCGCCACTGGGGAGGCCCTGATTGTCTTCTTTAGGAGTGTCTTTTTAGGTCCTTTGCCATTTTTTGATTGGGTTGTTTGTTATCTTGTTAGATTGTATAAGAATTTGGTAAATTTTGGAGATTAGCTCCTTGTCAGATGTGTGATATGCAAATATCCCATTCTGTAGCTTAGCTTTTTGTTTTAGTGATAGCTTTTTTTGAGGAACAAAAGCTTTTTAATTTGATGTAGTCCCATTTGTTTATTACTTTTTCCTTGCTTTTGGGGTTGAACCTCCAAATATATCTTTGTGGTAGATGTCCTGCAGTGTATTCCCTATGTCTTCTTTCACATACTGTATGGTTTTGTTCTTATATCCAGATCTTTTTTTTAAAGATTTATTTATGCATACAAGAACTGGGGTACAGGCCAGAGGTATGGGGGTTGAGAGGATTCACCAGAGACAGAGTAGGGAGCAGAACACACAGAGTGACTGAAATACACTGCTGAGGGAATCAGTGGGTGAGTCAGGAGAGGTCTGCCACGCCACGTGGGCAGCTCCCTGGCCAGGGATCGAACTCGTGCTGCAGTGGCTGCGGATAGCTTCATAGGTTGCATCTTAACCCCTTGAGTCACCAGGGAGGCCCCCCTTTTTTTCTTTTAAGATTTATCTCTACAAGAGCTGGGGTACAGGTCAGAGATGCGGAAGGGTGAGAGGACCCTTCAGAGACAGAGTGGGGAGCAGAACAGACAGATGGATTGAAAGCACTCCTGAGGGGAGCAGCGGGTGAGATAGGAGAGGTCTGCCACGCCATGTGGGCATCTCCCAGGAATCGAACTAGCGCTGCAGAGGCTGCGGACAGCTTCACAGCACGGTGCTTTACCAGCTGCACCACCAGGGAGGCCCTATATCCAGATCTTTAATCCATTTTGAATTAATATTTGCATGGGTCTGTTTATTTCTTTATTTGTGGACTTTCAGTTCTGTTCAATTCTGTTCAAATCTGGTCTTATTTTCTGTTTTTGTTGCAGTACCATACCATTTGGATTACTGTTGCTCTGTAATATAGTTTGAAGGCAGGAACTGTGATAACTTTTTGTCTGAGGATTGCTTTAGCCATTCAGGACCTTTTGTGGTTACATATAAATTTGATAAGTACTCTGTTTCTTCAAAATAGTCTTTGGCTTTTTGATAGGTATTACATTGAGTCTGAATTGCTTTGGGTAATATGGCTATTTTAATGATGGTAATTCTAATCCA